AGTATAATTAATACTGTATTTATACTGTATTTTAGTGCTATTTATACAGTATAAATAGTGCTATTAATACTGTATTATATTTATTTATAGAATTAATTAAGATTTAATTCTTAAGGTTAAAGATATATATTTATATATTTATTTAGTCTTTAACAGTTACTAATAGGGATATCTCTAAAGTAACCTAAATAGAGTTAAAAGGGGAGGTTAATATTATTACTAAGGAAAAATCATTACTTTTTCTTTTTATTAGAGATTCTTCCTAAAAGTTAAAGAGGCTAAAAGAACTTAAGGCTACTAGAAAGTTTATTAATTAATTGCTTTTATTTTTAAGAGATTTATTTAAGCCTTTTAGCTATTACTACATTTCCTATTTAACCTCTATCTTTAACTACCCTTAGATATCAGGCTGCTACAGACCCTATTAATACCTTACTAGCAAACTTTTCTACAACTAACCTAATATTCTATCTTATAAGATACTTCTCTATTAGGAGATATAAGCCTTAAATTAATCTAACTTTATATATGTAATTTAATATAGCTTTAAGCTAACTAGCTAAGATACCTATATAATAACTCTCTATATATTTCCCCTAGAATAAGTTAATAAGTTGGGTGTTATTTTCTATCTCTTCCTACTGCTAAAATAGCTTTATCTTAAAAGCTTTTATTATTCTTATAAAGAGTATTATACCTTTTTAATAGTAATATAATAAGAATATTTATATAGTATATTTAAGGCTTAACTATATAGCTATTAATATTCTATTAATACTAGTAAAATTAATAAAGCTAAAGTAGATTTTTTTAAGAGCTAGATATATAGCTAAATAAAATAGGCTATAATTACTAATTAAGAGTAATATATATAATAAGTATATAATATATCTAAGTATACAGTGTATTTTTATTAGAAACTTTATCTTTTTATTTAAATTATATTTTTAACTACTTATATATTATAGTAAAATACTAAAGTTAGAATCTTTTTACTCTTTAAGCTCTTTAAAATAACTTAAAATTAAGTTTTTAACGCATTATTAATATCTATAAAGTTTCTAAGTTAAGGCTATATTACTAATAGAATAATATTCAATTTTAATACAATTAAATTCTTAAATTATATTAGCTATTTAATTTAGAGGAATAGATTATTATTTAATTTATTCTTAACTTAAATTTATAAGAATTTTCTTTATAACTATATAATATTAAAGAAATAGCTAATTAACTACTTACTAATTATAATATATTACTAATTAATAAGTATTAAGCTTCTAACTTTATTAAGCAATATTAAAAATTTAAGATGTGTTTTTTTTATAAATATAATTATTAAAGAGCTAAATATAAAAATCCAATTATTATTTATATCTAATTTAGGCTTATAAAAAATACAATTATAAAGTATAATATTAATTTTATTAATATTTATAACTTTAATAAGACTAGCTTTATAATAGGTATTATTATAAGTAGAATAATTATTATAAGTATAAAAAAATATAAAAACTTAAAATTAATATAGCTTAAAAACTGAAAATAAATTATAGTTATTTAAGCAATTAATATAAAAGGCTAGTAATTTAGCTATTTATTATAATTGAGGCTAATATTACCTTACTAGCTAATATTAAAAAAGTAACCTCCTGGATAATTAGGCTATTATAATAACTTAAAATAGCTAGATTAATAATAAGATAGATTTTAAGTAGCTTAAGTACTTTAATTAATATATAAAAATTAATTAATTAGTTACTATTATCTTTTATTCTTAATAAATATAAAATTACTATTTTATTAACTTTAAGAAATATTATAAAGAAAATATATTATTATACTTTATATACTGCTTATTTATCTTATCTACTTTAGCCTCTTAATATTAGGTACTTTAGCTGCTTAAAATAGCCTATAGTTAAGTAATTAAGTAATTAATTAGATATTCTATAATTATATTTTAAAGATGAGTTCTTTCTAGCCTTTTATACTGCCTATATAGCTGCTATAATAAGAAGTAATATTAAAGGAGGTTTTTAAGAAGCTGGACTTATTCCCTAAACCTAGAAAATATTATATTAAAGCTTAATATATAGTTACAAACTCTAATACCAGCTACAAATAAAATTAGCCTCCCAACTCTTAAATCTTAAAGATTCTAAAAATTATACTTAAGGCTAGCTCTTAATCTAAATATCTTAAAAGATAAATAAGAAGGTATTAAAGTAGCTTTTTAGTATTAATTCTTAAGGCGCTTAAGTTACTTTTAAAAGAAATAAAAGCAATAATATATCAGAATATTCTATTAAAAGCTAAGATCCAGAACCTTTAACAGGCAAATAAAACTCTTAATAAGTAGTATAAAGCAAAAAGAACCTGCCTATATAAAAAAGAAAAGATAACTTTAAATAAAAAAAGAAATAAAATAGATTAAAGAGATATTAATATACAGATAGCAGCTAAATTATTAAGAAGTAGTAGTTAAGTAAGATTAGCAATACTAAGGGAAAGGCACTATAAAACTTATAAAAAGACTAGTTATAATACAAGAATCTATTAGGCTATAATTGAGATTTCTAAAGAAGAATATAGCAATTAGTTTTAATTAATTTAAGGTATTATTGTGTTTTTATTGAAGTTTTAATCTTAAAAGGTATAGAAAAGTATGCTGTATACTTGGATGTGCTATATACTTATTATATACATTATTAAGAAAATTAAGTATATTAGCAACTAGCTATAAAAGGGATATATTAAACTCTTAATTAAAAGCGGGATTAATCTTCTATATAATCTAAAGGCTATTATAGGTAATATCTAATAGTATTTTTCACGCTATATTAGCTATATTAATAGATTTTTCTCACTTTACTACAGTAGCTTGGTATTATATAAACTCTTAGATAAATATACATAAATATATTATATAAATATGTATTTTGCTAGATAAGTTGAATATAATATGAATATAAGAAAATCAGTGTGAATATTTATATTGCTATGTATAACGGATGTTACATACCGGCCCCAAGCGTAGCAAGACCCCCCCGGGAGGGCCCCTAGAGGGATATTCGAGAGTTGAAGGAGGTTGAGATCTGAGTAATAGCGGGCGCAAGGGCTGACGGAGGCCAGGATGTGAGATACGTAAGTATCTCATTAATCCGCCTCTGTCAGCCCCGCACGTGTATCTGTTATTCTAGTCATAGAGAGCGATTTCTGCTATTTCCCTCAAAATACTATTTCTGTCGGTTCGGCTTAACTATTCGCCGAGCAGAATCTTAAAGCTTTGCTTACCCTTTTCGGCCATACTGCGCCGGTAACAGAACTAGTATTGTTATTGTACAGTAGGCCAGGGTAACGGCCATCGAGGTGTGAGAAGAGATGCCCCTTAAGCCCATGACTGTCGCCGTCTCAGACTGGCCCCTCCTGTCTTTTCCCTGTCTACATGTCTAAAATTGAAGCGTGTCTAAGGATGGCGGATCCGAGAATTGCAGCAAAAGCTCGACGAATACAAGCAAGAGATGCAGGACACAAAAGCCCAGATGGCGGAAGAGTTAAGGCAGGTCCGAGGACATCTGGACACCATCGTGAAGTGTCCAGCAATGGCCATTTCCGCCCAAATATGTCCGCAAACATCCTATCAAACAGAGGATGGATTGGTTGAGACAGCTTGGTGACGATGGATGATCTTGATTTCTTATCTAACGGAGGGCTAGGGAATGGTCTTATCTCCTTGGCAGCTGTAATGCTTGTGGGTCTGCCGAGACAGGGGGGAAAACCAATTGGAATGTAACGCATCGTAGGTACATAGGATCGCACTCAAATTAGCTGGTGATATTGGTACCAGCAATCTCTCTGGGTACAAATCGGTACATCGCACTTATCGCAGCCGTAGTAGGTCTGCTTAGGCTGCCGTTTTGGGGCCCGGCTGCTGTTGCCGTCAACAGCAGCTAAAGCCGGCCTCTGTGAGCTACGGGTTGTTGGATCACCAACCCGTCTTCCTTGACAGCCATAGCAACGCCGATATTTTGTGCCCTTGACACTTTTGTGGTATGCGTAGGGCGAGAATTCGTCGCCGGGTCTGAAGCGCTTCTCGCGTCACTCCTAAGTCCCACGCGCCGCACAGGGGGTCTGTGGGCTGCGGCGGCCCCACAAGCATTACAGCTGCCAAGGGAGATACTGTAGATGAGGTTGAGGGCCTCCGGCAGCCTCCGGGACCGAGGTCCGGAGGTCTGAGACCGGAGGACCCACCTGCCGGGGGTCTGCGACCTTGGTCCAGACCGGATTCCTAGCAGCCGGTCTAAAAGCTATTCCAGGCGTCTCACCATGATCCCAAAATGTAACACGTCTCTAGCCGATGATCTAGGTTGTTGAGGACAATCTAGGTTGGTGAGGGCAGACTAGGTTTGAAGTCTCTATCTAGAGCTAAAGGAAACCACGGTACGGATGCGGTCCGATGCAAAGCTGACCTTTTCCTATCAGGCTGTCTGACAAAGGCCTTCCAGTGCAAAAACCGCCAGAGATGTGCCAGGTGCGCTAAGGAGGGACACCGGCACGACAACTGCGGCGAGAAGATATTGAAGTGTGTTCTCTGCGGAGGCCTACACGAATCGTTCAGCAAGAACTACTTGAAGCTCTACCCTGTAGCGAGTAGGACGACCCTGATGCGATAACATTCCCCCGACAACACTAACTTCGGGGCTTCTATAACACGAGGAATCATACAAAGGGCTTGGTCCTCCCGGGCGTAATGAATTCCATTCCCATTCCCATGACCCGCGACGCCCCACTTCGTTCTGTTGTTGTTTCAAAAGTTTCATTCTCGCTGTTTGTTGTTATCTAACATCCGGAAGGTGTCACATGACCCCATGCCTCCCTCATGACCCCACTTTTCCGATGGGTAGACATTGCCTGACTTCGTAGCCACCCCAACCCTCGTCATTATTTGCCCTTATAGTTTGGTGATTTGTTTCCCCGGACTCAATATCTGTGACAACATGGACGGCCAATCGGTCTCGTCCTACCTCGCATACAAGCAAGACACGAGCGCCTTCTTGTCTTGGCTTGGTTCCGCCTCCAAAGTGTGCGGTTGGAGGCAGCCCAAGAGGAAAAAGGATGCTACGTCAGAGGTGAAATCGCCGGTTCTTAACCTCACCCTGGCTGACAAGGGCTCTCAAAGATTGAAAGGCAGAGCGCGAAAGGAAGCAAAGGAGGCCGCAGCGGCAGGTGCCGGTCAACCAGGAACCACTCCTGTATTTTCGCGCTCGGTAACAGTGTTGCCGAAGCGGACCTTTACTACAGCCGAGCTAATTCAGCAGATTGAGTTGGTTAGCCAGGCTGATGCAGCACAAAGACCAGAGGTGCGGATGCCAGTCGCTGTCTACAAGGCTCTGCAACGTGCAGTCGGGGCCAGAGAGCGCTTTGCAAGATGGTATCGACGGACTGGAGCCAGCAGCGATGATTCCATGGAAAGTCACGACTATTTCACCGGTATCCTGACCAAGGCCCTCATTCTTCTTCGGGGCGTTGACAATGGTCCCGGCCATGCTGCCGACCATCCTTCAGACGGCAAAACAAGCGACATCAACTTCATGGAGTGAGTTCTTCTGTTTATCCCTGCATCTCCGTCTCCGTACAATGTGAATCACCCATCTGACCTCTAGCAGGAATATGTTTGCGTCTCTTCAGGTGGAAAACACGTCTGAGGAAACCGACGATCAAGCCTGCTCCAACAGCCAACCTGCCTCGCCTAGCGCCTTAACAGGAACGGATAGCAGTGTCCAGTTCGGCATCGAAGAGGACAAAAATATGGCTGAGATCGATTTTGCCATCTTCTCCATCTTCGAAGACGTACACCGCCTTCGCGCTGAGACGCAACGGATTTGGGCCCGACTGAAGGATGGCGACATAAGCCTCATTCAAGCCACGCTGTCCCTCGCCGTAGTGATAGAGCTGGTGCGACAGGCCGAGGAAGAAGCAATGCAAGTGGTGGCCTCGCACACCACACCCGAATACTTCGCCGATGTTTTCAGCACGGGGTCTTACCAATTTTTCGTGGGAAGGATCTACAATTCCAAGGCGCTCGGCAGAGAAAACGAATATAGCGTGAACGATAAGGAGCACGCAATTGTCATTACGCCTTTCGACGAATTTGTTCTTCTGCCTCTTGGCCACACACTGGTCAAGTTCCAATACTTTTGGTTCAAAGATCATAACCCCACGATGCCCGTCATCCCGCTGCCTCCTCTGAGGATGGATTACAAAAGCGCGGCCAGCCTGCTGGATGATCCTCGATATCGAAACTTTGAGGCCGAGGATCAGCTTCTGGTTCAATTATGCCACGAGATGAGATTCATCGAGGACATCCGAAAAGGAAAGCTCTTACGCCCGTACAGCCTGAAAGACAAGGAGGCTATCAAGGAGTCGATTTTACCGTTTGACGACCTCTTTCACAGTGCTATGCGTCCGATCTGGGATCAAGGACTAATCAGCATGCCGAGTGCATTCGCAGCCAGGGCCATGGTGGATATGTACGAAATTTGCGGCCCACATCTCAACGGAAGCCAGCTACTATCAAAAGAGGCCAGACTATGCACGGAGCGGTTTGGCTTTGCTCAAGACGGCAATGAGGTCGTTGACGTGCTTGGTCTCCGGGACGACATCGTACCACGATTGACAGACACCCGACAACTGCTTGCCACACTCTGGCGGAGATCAACGAATGACCTGACTCACGATTCATTTTTGCTTAAGCACAGGGAAAAGTTCGGCGAAAGGGTACAGATTGCACAAAAGAGGATGGCTAGCGGCGGAGGCGAGGGCTTTGAGAACTTTCGACCCAAGGACCACAAGGTTTTGACTTCCAACCCCTCCGATGACCAATGGGCCGCTACTTTCACTGGCATTTGGTATCATGAGTCTCCCAGCTTTTTCAGGGACACCAACCTCTTATATGGCGGAACAGCCCTTTTAGAGGTTGTGTCTGTAACTGAACAGGCTGGGATCGCTATTGCTAATGAGAGCATGTCTCTCTTTTGCATGGCACATGTATACGTAAGTGACCTAAACCTACCTCCTTGAACATACATGGGTAGTAAATATTGAGAAGGAATAACTGACAATACCTTAGAACGCTGCAAGACAGCTTGGTGGACTGGATCTATATTGGCCAGAGCTGGATCGCGTTATGGAACTCCACGCCGCGGCTCTTTTTGCCAACGACGTCCCTACGACACCACAAGCCATATTTGACAGATTCAAGTACCGGATTGGCATGGGAGCACGTTCGACCTTTTCTCGCTCATTCGCGTCCTCGTTCTCCACAGGGGGCAAAACCCCGCAACCACAGGGCCGATGGATGCTCCGGCCGACCCCGACGTCGACCACGATTCGAGAGTTTTTTGATGCGAATACCAGCCCACGCTCTCTCCCGAGATTGGTTCACCAGCTAGAGGGCCAAGCCTCGCAGCAGAATCAGTCTGCACCAGAACAGTCCCGCCGGAAGCTTCGAGGATCCGTTACCCCCTCGGCCTCGGCAACTGGGTCTATCGCAGGCACCAGCCAACGGCAGATGACCTTCCAGCAAACACTCCAGCACTTTGAGAAGCATCTTGACGCTGTTCTTCCCGACATGCGGCTTGATTACATCACATTGACTCGCACCTGTGATGGCCTGCTTGACACTCTCCGTGCCGAGCTGCTTGCCAAGTTCAACGTCTCGTACACGCTCAAGAACGGGCAGACAGGCCGCTCTGACGACATGCACAATGCATTTGGTCGGGTTGAGACCGCCCTGTGCATCTTCCAGGAGACCGCGAATGCTGCAGACCTGCACGAAGAGATGAAACGAAAGAAGTATAGGGGCTTGGATACTGAGATTTTGCCCGTGGGCAAACAGCTCGAATACGCCGCCGAGTTTTTGAGGCTACATTTAACACGGGCTAGCCGAAGCGGATAACGTACCGTAGTCACAATATCCCGATTATTCTAGTGGTACGTTTGTAGAGTAGCTTGCAGGTACGGAAACAGTCGTTTAACATTATTGCGGTCCGGCTCCCTGATGTGGCTTGGCAGCGTTGAACCGCATACCTACTAGGATTCTGTGGGGCCAGGTATGGAGGTGGAGGCTTATGACAGTCAAAGGGATAGATTAATTCACATCGAAACCTTACCCCTTAATACCTGAAACGGAACAAATTTGTGTGGGTGTCCCGCCCGAGGGCGAACGGCCACGTAATTCCTCGGCCACTCCCAAGCAGCGTCGTCCCCGCACATTCACCATTCAACGCCATGGACGGAGGACCCTTTCAAAAGTCTTGTCCAAGCGCTAGCAATGCCAAGGAGCAGGGGAGGGTAGGCAATACGTGGGAATAATTGCCTAACATAGCGTACAACAACTTGTTTGTATGTTATTGTTGTTAATGAAGTCTGCAGCTCTGATTCTGCCATCCCTATTAGCTACAACAGTCATAGTCAACATCTCTTACACCCTCTCCTACCCCGCTGTAAGTTTCGGTCCCCCTATCTACAGTTGATCTATATGAGCCATATATTTCTACCGACCAACTCAATGACAGTGAGGCAAGCTGCAATGACGCTATTGTTTACTGGCTGTCTTGCTATAACTCTATTGAGGATGATGGTGAGAGTTAAGATCATAAGAATGATGACAGTAAGTGGACTGTTAGTCCTATTATACTACCTGAGTATAGAGGAGTCTTATAATAATTAAGAAGGCTTATTTAAACTAAAGTTAAGTTAGAAGGTACTATTAGATATTTAAGTTAAGAGGAAAAAGAAATATTGTAGCAGGCCGTCTAGTACTTTTGGACTAGCTAGTCGCTAGCAGGGATGTAATAGGGATAAATAGGGGAGGAAGCTGTATACAGAGGAAGGGAGGATCATTATATCTTTTATCATTGAATTTTCTTTCAGTTAGAGAGACAGTCATCTCGACGACCTTATTGTTAGAGTTAATACAGACTTTTTGCTCTTGATTTTTAAGAGATTTTATAAGACTATTTTGACTGCAGTTACAATCCTTATTCAACCTCAGTCTTCTACTTTATTAAATTAACAGGCTGTTACAGGCCTCATTAACATCTTGCTACTTTAGCAGGCAAAAGGGATAAAGATAAAGAAAACAACTCCAAATCAATAACCTAATAAGGGCTCAATAAGGAAGCTGCTAGCTGCCCGAACCATAAGAAAGGTCAAGTTGGCAAGGCTGTAAGGGCGATCCGGGCAGAAGGCGGCAAGGTCTCGCCGAGGGGTCGGTGTGATCAATAGGGTCAAAGAAGGATGAGATTTGCGTCTCTTGTCCGTAGTCTCTGGTATGTAAGGAAGATGCCGGCCGAAAACACAATCAGATACTGGCATCTTTAATAGCAAGGAAATCGGCAAGACTGAAACGGAGATTAGGTGAAACTGGGTAATTCTGAGGCAGTTATTATCTAGAGTTTCTCTCAATTCTTGCAGCTAGGGCAATATATTCGTTATCGTGGACGCCGGGATAATACTAGCGTCAAGATATTTAAGAGAATAGTGAGGATGAATGATGGAGGAATACCTGTGGTCTGACAATCCTCTGACATACCTCCCCGATATCGAACTCAACCCTTACACTGCTCCTCTCTTCACCAAGCCAGGCATCAACAACGCCAAAGCCGACAAGGCTAAAGTGGCCGAGTCTGGCGGCGCCATCAACGCAGGCACCTTCACCGCGGACGCTTTGCACCTGTCCCAGGACGTAAGGTTTACGGGCCCGCCGACCAGCCTCTCGATCTCAACAGCTTCCTCGTAAGGCTAAAGAGCCTCAAAAAGGCTTTCCCGGACCTTCACTTGGAGAACAAGCCCTATACGCAGATCATCGCTCAAGGGGACTGGACTGCCACGGTTGCTATGCTGAGCGGCACGTTTAAGGGGTCTCTTGAGCTGCCGGCTTATTTGGGCTCCCCGTCTGCCAAGCCTAATGGCAAGAAGTTTGGTTTGCTTCATTATACTATCTGCAGATGGAAAAATGGAAAGATCTTGGAGATGCGCATCAATGCTGATGTCTTTGGTATTGTTGGCTGGCTGGGGATTCCGCTCGAATGAGGCGTCTACCGGTGAAAGTTGAGCGATGACTGGATGTGGAAGGTCGAAGAACTACTAGCAACATTGGGCTGTCTATTCAAATTCCGACTGGGAGATGCAAGATCTGCTGAATCACGGGTTGTTGACTAGGCCATTCTCCATTGTCCGTGTCTTCTACAGCCGATCATCCTCCCCTCCCTTCTTTTTTTCCTTTCGTTTTATATTTGGTGTAGTAGCGTTAGATATTCAATTCCCCAGAACCCTGTTCCGATTTAAATAACGTGGCCACGATCCCATTCCATTTGAAGCAACGCCCAGTAGGTCGCATCTATGCCCTGCAGCGCCCCATTCATCTGCCCCGGCTGTGATATCAGCTGCACTGAAACTGCTCTGGCCGTTTTGAGGATGGAAGTGAATTGGAGCGAAAGGTTCCATCATGTCGTCGCTCACTGGTTGAGAAGAGCCTGCGGATAACGTGATCGCGGCGTCCAGCTCCAGGGGCGGTATGAGTGTCTCGAGGCGCTGCATTTCTTGTGTCTGTTCAAAGGTCTCGGAACTCGCGGCACCACAACCTTAATTGTACCGAAATAGGGTATTTGGAGCTCAACACTTGGAGGAAACAGCGAATACGGGTTGGGAGATTCTGACTCGGGAGAGTTCAAGAGAGGCAATAACCGATTAATGACATCAGTGGATTCCTCGAACAATTTATCGCTGTTCAGGTATGCGAGGTCCTTCATTCGGTCCTTGACTGTAGTAATAAGAGCCCTATCTGTGCCTCGATGAATTCTTTCGTCGTTGCTGACCTCCGGATGATGCGCATGAGATACCAGCAACGTCATTGCCGCAACCAGGGCGGCATAATCCACATGACGACAGGCGAATGCCGATTCGTTCAAGCTCCGGAAGACATGAAACCTTTCCAGAACGTTGCGGCTCGAATTGGTACAAATCGTCTTGCTACCTTGCTGGCCATTCAGAAGCAAGGGATTTCTCAGCAAATATGGGATATGCAGCAGGATCAAGAGCAAATGGTGATTCATCTGCAGGATTATCCGCCCTGCTATCTCCGGCTGGGACCTCAGACTCTGCTCTGCGTCAAAGAGGGAAAGTTTCCACCATTCTTCACCCATGAGACCCTGACCTGCCAAGAGATCGCGACTGATCTGTTGGGTCATGCGGTCAGCCTGTGCCTGGGTAGAGTTGTTGCGCTCGATCATCTTTTCCGATATCACTGCATGCAGCTTCTCCAGCTTCTCCCAGGGAGTATCCCTCGCCGTTTGTGGTTGGGCGGCGAAGAAGTTATCGTGGCTGCCGGCTGGAAGTCCAAGGAGCAGGGACAGGTAGCGGTCAGAAGCAACGGATCGAAACCATAACATATCTGGCGACGGTGGATATCGTGTTGAGAATGGCGTGGTCGGAGGGGACTCTGGGGCGGTGTTGACACCCATAAGTTGTCCAACGCTGAGGGCTTGTCGAAAGATGAGCCAGGCCTTCCTGAGGTTCCCCGCATTTTGTTGCCAGTAGCCCAAGAGCAACAGACATTCGAGTCCTTCAAAAGTGGACACAAAGCGATCGGCGGCGATGAACTTATCCACACCATCGACAATCTCCTCCATCGTTCTCAATATTGAAGTACGGACTGAAGGCAATAGGCCTTTAAACCTTGGGGAAAGCTGCTGGATGCAGATGACCAGCTGCAAAAGGCGCTTGGCCAACAGAGTCGGTCGGCTTGACGGCGATGGTATGGCTCCGATAGCTTCTGGAGGTTCTGAGATGCCTTTCGCAATATCAGCCTGGCGATGGAATAGCGTTGTGACAAATTGCGGCCCGGCGCTGGCCTCGAGGATGGCATTGACGTCGCTCTGCGAAGGGAAGAGTTTGTATAACGTCTCCGCATGGGTACGGTCACCAGCGAGATCCATATTCGTCTCGTGTGTTGTTCCAGAGGTGAGGGATGATGGTGTCTCGTGAGAGCTGGAGACGGTTGATATCCGAGGAGGAGCAGGATCGCTCGTCCTCGATGGGGATGGCTGCTCGAGCTCATTCATACCGGCATAAAAGAACCCGGCTGATTCTTGAGTGAGGATACCAGCGAAGAGATCAGCGGATGAACCAGCTGCAGATCGCTCCGCAAGCCTCCCCATCAGCTCCTCCAGCCGACTGAGCCGCCGTGCGAGATTCCGCATGGACAACTCAGATGCCTCTGATTCATCGGCAAGCTCTTGACTGCGACATATTGACCCGCGGTTCCTACATGGCGTACACACAAGATCGCCCGGCGTTGAGTATTGACATCGTATCTTGCGGCGGCGGCCTTGAACAGTTAGGAAACGGGCTTGTGTGTTGTGACGAGTGTCAGACCTACATTCCCAGCAGCTATGCGTGCCTTTGCGGATATTTCTAGCCTGGATTCTGGCATTTGCCTTACTTGATGAACTCATCTTTGTAGGGAAAAAGTGGTAAAGAAATGAGAGACTTTCGTAGAGAGCGCGTCTTAACTACATACGAGTACGGTATTACTAAATAGCTTAACTAAGCGGACCCCCACAACTGCGTATAAAACTAAGTCGAGTCTACGTAAAAACGGCGTAATTTAAGGCTATCAGTTAGCTCAGTTTACTAGGGCTTAGTTAACTACAAAAATATATTACAAAATTAAAAATCAAAATTAAAAAATAACTCGTATAAAGTTATAACCTACTTAATAAATAAGTTAAGTAAGTATATAAGTCAGATAATAAGACTTAGACCTTAAAATGCAATTTTGGAAATGCTATTGAAATTCTAAATTATGCCTAACATAGCGATAAACTTAGAAATAAGCTAATTAATAAAGAATATTGTAACGCGGGCGGGCCGGACCAACCTGGGTGTATCAGCCCAGCCCACTATCGCTCCATGAGGGTTACGCTAGCCAAGCGTTAGGGTTTCGCCACATACATACTATAGATAGAGTACTGCGGAGATGACTGAAGCCTTCAAGCTTCAGTCTTAATATAACGCCTGTGGCGCCCTTTTGTACTTACCTGGCTACGTACCTATCCGGGTACAACCTCTTTACAAATATAAATATTAAATAATTCCTGAAAATTCTAACTCTTAGAAACCTAGATAGACACAAAGATAGATTATAATAAGTAACAGGCTAGGTCTATAAGAAGGTCTCGGCCTACACTCTCGATCTGACGATCCATGTCTATCCTAGGGTGTAGGGTAGGCAAGGGGGCGTTCAGTACTTGGTCGGAGTGTAATCAGGACGTCGGCCAGGCCGTGACAATAATTATAACTCAATTTCTACTTTTATTCTCTGTTTCTCTCTCTCTCTCTTTCTTTTCTTTTTCTCTGCCTCTAGGCAGCCAATCAGCATCGTCCTTTTACAGCAAACTTCTTTTTCCATTGCCAGCATAACAGCACAGGCCGCGCCGAAGTCACCGCGCCCGCACAGGCCGCGCGCGCCAGTACTGACTGGAGTCTTCGGCGGATGTACATAAACTGAGGGTTAGTAGCTAGCTTCGCTGAGGGTTGGGCCATTTTGCAGAGCTTAAAGTGAGGCTAGCGCTGCCCAATCCTCAGCGAAGCTAGCTACTAGCCCTCAGTTTGTGTAGGCCCTTGAGTCTTCTTTCCCCCCGTAAACAGAGCGACGCATAGGAGTTAGGACAGCTTGTGGCAATCACCTATTCATAACGTGACGGACTTCAACGCCATGTTCTCAGCTTCCCATTGCTTACTGGATCAGTACTTACTCCCACTTTGCAGGTCGTTTATCTAAGAATGCTGATACGCCTTCCCTTTTGTCCCGTGTTCCGAACGCATAATAATAGAGGTGTCGTTCGAAGTCATCATCGCGCCCCTTGTCATCGGCTTCGCTTGAGTATCAGAGCCCTATCGCCTTCTAGACTCTGACAAAGCAAACTCACCACGGCATATGGATTCTTTTGCAAGTGATATTGCTGACCTACTCATATTGGCTATTTGAGTAGCCGCCTCGAGGGCACTCGCAAGGACAGTTCCTGGTTCGAACAGCCCTGCAACCAGACCGCAGGATGCTGCCTCTTCACCTGTGATGGACGAGCCAAGCAGAATCATTTCCATCGCCTAAGGTTCCGTTAGTGTCGTCTCTCGACTTGTTGCGGACGACTCACTCACCTTGAACTTGCCCATGATATTTGTGAGCCGTTGCGTGCCCCCGGCACCTGGTATCAGCCCAATTTTGACCTCTGGAAGACCAAACTGAGCAGTTCGTGACGCGAATATGAGGTCGCACTGTACTTAACGTTAGCAGCTGAAGCTTATGAGACTTTACCACAGGCACCCGGCGAGCCCCTGGATTTTTCGAATCCTCGGGACAGAGAGGAGTCCGAAATATTGATTCACCATAAGAGCCACCTCAAAACCTCCACCAAGCTGGAGCATGATTTAGTGAGATACCTGAATCAAGATTCGGTCAGAAGGCCCTGCGCAAGAGCTGCCACTTACCGCTATCCCCTCTACTGCGGCGATAATCGGCTTGCGTACGGAACGCAGCCCATTGCACAGATCCTCCAGATATCTACACCTCGTCGCAGCCTCGGCGTCCAAGGCCGCGATCTCGTTAATATCGGCCCCCGCTTTAATGTGTCAGAATCGGGCATGTTAGGGTGTAAGGTATTCAAGCCACGGACCTGAGAAGAATGACTTTCCTCCGGTAACGACAATAGCCCGGACTCTAGCATCTCTAGATGCTATTGCCAGCTCGTAGAGAAATTTGTCCATCAACGCCTGCGAAAGAGCATTACGCTTTTGTGGGCGGTTGAACGTCAGTACGCGGATCTTCTCGGCGTGTGTGTTGACAGCGAGGAGTTCGGGCTCCGATGCGGAAGGCATCGGAGGAGGGGCGCCAGGTCCTGCCATAGAAGGAACTGAGCACACCAGGTTATTAAAGGCAACTTCAGCGATCCTTGGAGCACAACTCTCAGTAGGAGATTGAGGGGAACCAATTTCGGACTGTATATAAGTTTGATTCTTTTTCGTTTCCGTCATTCAAACCGAGGCGCAGCTTTATCCAAATCGTGTTAGCATCGAGCCATCATCCCCCCTGCTCCATAAGTAGCAGCAAACACCCTGAGTGGTGGTAAACGGCTAACGAGCCTCGTGGGTCAATGTCGCGTGCGTGCTTGTCAGAACCCTTGGCTGAAGCACTGGGGGATTAAGGTTCACGGCTAACGAGTCATCCCCTCACGCCGTCTCCTCACCATAGCTCCCAGCTTCCAACCACAAGGCGCCGTTCCACACCGCAAAGTACTAATTAATAACCTAGACAGACCAAGGCCATTGGCTCATCATCCCACCCTGGACGCCATGTCACAGAGTTCATGAGCTTCAAGGATCCACGGCACCCTTATCCGAAGGCTTGGCTGGTGAAGGCGGGGGGATGCCATTCGCACGCACTAACATAACAGCCATCCTGCGCGTACTAGGATAGGTCACAGGTTCATCTCTTGAATGGTCAAACACCTCCAAGCTGGTTACGACGAGGGGGTCGGGCCAATTAAAATGCGCAAAATAAAGGTACATAGTTCCTCATCTAAATTATATGGTGATATAAGTCCCAACAATACTGATTGTTACAAATCGCAACATTGGATACAGTAAAAGCTCTGTTAACTCGCGCAGCCTAGCTTCTCCTTAAAAAAAGGAGAACCAATACACTAGGCTGTCTGTTTGTGACGTTTTCGCGGTTAACAGTGGAAAAATGGAGACGCTAGGCTGCGCGAGTTAACCGGGGTTTTACGGTACTTGGCAACCGTGCCAACCTAGTCTGCTTGCGAAGCTTCCTCTTTGTAACGGGCAAGGCCCATGATGAGGCCTCGGCCTACGCTCTCGACCCACTAACACGTTGACCTACATTAGCTGGAAGACCAAGGTGGAGTCGGCACCTCTACCGAGCCGATTGTGGAGGAGGAATGTGAGAGATCCCATAGGCCCACGGCCTGCAAGGGGCATAGCACTAGAAGCGGACGGTAGTCCTTAACTGTATCAAGGCATAACGTTTGTTAGAACAGGCTGACAAATTGTCGACAAAGCCGGTGGGATAAGAGTCGTTGTGGTCTAGTGGTCTATTGCCTTCGTATTCTGAACATAGCGCCGAAACTCGATTTTCTACCTTCTCGGTTGGCTAAATAGAAAGAGGTTGCTGGGTCCAGTGCGAACCATGACTTGAAAGCTATCCCCTGGATCCGTTGTGATTGCCGGGAAACTGCGGGGGCGGGAAACCCCAGATCGCGGGGGCCGAGGCAGGTTTTGTGCACTACGCATCAGCCGAAATCTTAATTGGGAAATACGATAGTCTCTGGGGAGGCCTTCGCTGCGTAGGCGAGGAGTTGACGATGTCAAGAGAAAGTCCTCCACAAATTGCCAGGTCGGTCTGGGCGTGGGGCAGTTTGCCGATGAGTCCGTGTCATCGCAAAACCTAGAAGAGTTAGTTTGCTTGAAAATAATGGCTTCTCCGGGCCATCCTAGTGTCCACTCCCGACATATTCGACATACTCACGCAGGGTATCCGATAGCAGTTCCACAAGCTGTAAATATACCCGAGGCGTTAATAAGGCTTCTGGTGGCTCCGTTACTCTTTTGCTTAATATTACTTGTACAGTGAGGTTACTTTATTATCTTAGTTGGCCCTAGGGGAGAGCTGGGGGCTCTGTTCACCCGTTCTCCAACATGTCTCGTCTCGCCTAAGCTGAGGATGACAAAACTTGTTTAAGAAATAAACACCCTTTAATTATCACATACGAGAAGCTATTCCTTTTCCATCTTGTACCAATTATGCCTCGGTCCTGGGAGTTTTGCCAACGGACCAACGGATCACCATAGCCAAAGACGGCAACAGGGCGACACATTAGTAGCCGTACCCCAAATGGACACTTTGCCATCTCAGGCATGGTGAATATAATTAGCATCGATCTAGAGTAACGTGGCGAGGCTAAACCGCTTTCGGTAACAAAAGAGAGACTTGATTTAGTACATGGGCTGCTGCACCATGCACCCATCTTCGGGTACGCGTACTAGCTGGGGAGTCTACAGAGCCGGAATTCACATACTCAATAGGGTCTAACTTATCACATGAGAAGCAAGCAGACTCCCTGTGTGGCGATATCCCAGCTGCGGACTTCCAGACCTTCAGCGCGATAAACAGGAGTTTGTACACTTCCCATATCGTCAAACCGGGTTTACTCTAGGAGATTGTAGTCTATATTGAACGTAAGTTGAGTAACCTGCATCTGGTTCACAGTCTCATATGTCTTATGTAAATCTCACCTTTTATCATAGAGATCCTGCGGCCTGAGCAAGACACAACCGACTACCAACACGCGTAATAGTGTCGGATGCTTTAATAAGTTCTCGGAATGCTTTCTTAGACTTTACTATCCAAGGTATGTGCTCCCCGTCTAGCCTTTACCGATGCTCTATGCCCCTCCCCACTCTGGGAACTGTTGCCAGATAGCCCAAGCCGGGTCTTCAGACATGACGGTCTACCTCGGGAAACTGTTGGGTGGCCGCATCGGCAGTCATCGGCAGTCATCAGCAGTCATCCGCGGTAAGGGCAGATCCTTCTATAAATTTGACTGATGTCGGCCACTCGGGTGTACACTCGGATCTAGCTTTGTGGTTGCTTTCTCCATACCGACAATAGTAGCCCACTCCTTGCGTCTGTCATATCCAGGCTCCCTTATCACACCCTATTCAGACATTGTTCATCTTCTTGGTCCCATTCTCCTTGCAAGGTCGTCATCATGGCCCTGTTATCCGCAACTCCTATGGCTGCGCCAAGTCTCCTTCAGACAAAGTCGCAGGAGAGCATCTTATTATCCCCTCAAACACCCCACATCCAAACCACTGACTTGACATACGGCGAGCGCATCGATTGTCCCTTTCTCACCCTCACAGCAGCGTTCTACCACCACGTCCAGCACTACCCGGACACAGTCGCGGCAAGGGATCTCTCGTTGCAGCCGCCCCTGGAAACCACATATGCGCAACTAGGCATGCTCTCCCAAAGCCTAGCACACCGTCTCCACAACCTTGGCGTCAGGCCCGGGGACCGCGTACCGCTGGTTGTTACACGAAGTACTGAGATGCTGGTCGGCATCTTTGCCATTCTTAGCTGCGGCGCGCAGTACGTCCCGCTAGACGGAGGCGTCGTCCCGGATACGACGCTCCAGCTCGTACTGAAGCAGACGCAGGCGAAGGTGGCCTTATGCTTAAGATCTACGGCGAGACGAGTCACTGCGATGAAGGATGTCCAATGCCAGATCGTGCTGATTGATGTAGAGCTCGAGCTGACCGTAGACGACGCTCAAGTGGCGACGCAGCGGCTGGATCTTGCATCGGCTGAGAGTGGGTGCTATGTTATCTACACTTCAGGTATAGTTTCTCACCATGTAGACCTGTTAAAGTGCGGCAGTATGCTCACCAAATCGCTAGGGACGACTGGATCACCGAAGGGGGTGAGCGTGACACATGGGAACGTCACCAATCTCATCTGCTTGTCTCCTGGCAATCTGAGAATTCGCCCAGGAACGAAAGTTGGCCAGGTGCTCAGCATTAGCTTTGATATGGGTACATTGATGACATTACCCCTGGACAGTGAAATATCAGCCGACTAACGATCAAGTAGCTGCATGGGAGATTCTCGGATGCCTCTGTAATGGAGGAACGCTCCTCATCAGGAGCTCTGAATGGGATCAGACTTTGCGAGAGGTAAGTGAGCTTAACAATCATGACTGACTGCGTTCTGACACCAACTCGAGATCGATACCCTCATCTGCACGCCGGGTATACTCTCTCGGTATACCCCTGAGCAGTATCCGAACATCAAAACGGTAGCAACAGCTGGAGAACCAAGTTGGCAAAGGTGAGACCTGGCAAACGAGTTGTATGTGACCTTCGAAGACTCATAGTACAACAGTTTGGCGGACCTCTGGGCATCTCACGGAACCTACTACAACTGCTACGGGCCAACCGAGACCACAATTGTCAATACAATGTCCAAGCACATCCCTCGCCAACCATTGTCAATTGGTCGTCCTACACCGAACAACAACGTATACATTCTTGATTCTGACCTTAACCCAGTCCCGCATGGCGAAGTGGGAGTCATCTGGGGTGGCGGACGTGGTGTCTCGGCTGGTTATGTTGACCAGCCTGACAAGACCGCGGAGAAGTACAAGTTTGATTCGGTTGCTAACGATGGGTGAGTATGCTTCGAAACAAGTATCGGCTGGAAAGGTTCATTAGCTGATATACTGTAGCGCTTTGATGTATAATACTGGCGACCTCGGCCAGTGGCGCCCAGACCGACAGATCGACATCTTGGGACGTGTTGATGACCAGGTTAAGATTAAAGTGAGTGAAGAGCCTTTATGGAACTAAAAAATGGCATTTCTCACACTATGAAGGGATTTAGAGTGGAACTCGACGGCGTTTCTGCGTCATTATGTGCGGCTCCGGAAGTGTCTCAGGCAGTTGCCCTCCTTTTCGAAGACCAGATTCATGGGTTCGTGAGCCCCAAGTCCTGCGACTCCCAAGAGATTTTCCATCATCTCCGGACTTGCCAACCCTACTATGCTGTCCCCAGTCAGCTTCACTTGTGCGATGATCTGCCAAGGACAACCAACGGCAAAATCGACAAGGCGGCACTTCGGAAATTTGTTCTCGAACTCCAAAGCAGCCATGACGGTTCTAGCACTTGCTCAAGATCCAAGGCAGAATTGGAGACTTCCTCATCAGACCAAAGTTTGGATGCGTTGTCTGAGAGTCCGAACCTTTCTAGCGACATCAAGGAGAAGGACTTGACTCAGCCTTGGCGGGGTCTCATCCACCGCGTACTTATCCCTTATCGATCTCTCTTCTCGATCGTGGCCATCGGCAATATGGGTGCACTTATTGCGACGCTATCTCAAGATATTAACAAAGATTGGCTGAGCACCATGACCGCAATCAACCTCACCATTGCCGTTCTGGTCCGCCAGGACTTCATCATCAACCTCCTCTACACGATATTTTGTTCGGTTCCCAAGTCTTTCCCGCTATGGATTCGCGCGTCTTGCGCTAAGATCTACCATTTAGGAGGCGTTCACTCCAGTGCTGCAATCTGCGCCGGCATGTGGCTGCTGGCATCTGCCCTTGTCAACGTTGCCTGCGGCACGGCGAATCTTTGCACGTCGTTACCGCGTCAATCTCTCGCAGTAACAGTGATATCATGGGTGCTTATTGCCTTATTCTGTACCATGATTGTCATCGCCTACCCAACCATCCGAAAATCGCGCCATGACCTCTTCGAGCGAACCCACCGGTTTGTGGGCTGGACAATGCTCTGTCTGTTCTGGATCCAGACCTTCCTCGCCATCAACGACCATAGGTCACCAGACACAACGCTTGGCAACGCAGTGGTCACCACGCCAAGCTTCTGGCTTATCGTAATTTCCACATGCAGCGTCGCTACTTCCTGGCTCTTCCTCCGCAGAGTCCCGGTCGAGGCTGACGTGCTATCAAATCACGCTGTTCAGCTACACTTTGACTACACTGTCCCGGTGAATGGTTCATTCGCGCGCATTTCATTCAGGCCACTCATCGAGTGGCATTCCTTCGCTACCATCCCGGCACCGGAAGTCATTGGCCTACGCCCGAAGGGCTACTCGCTTGTGGTGTCTAACGCCGGCGACTGGACGAAGCAGTGTATTAAGAAGCCGCCGACGCATATCTGGGTCCGGGGCGTGCCCACGTGCGGCGTCATGCGCATCGCGACGCTATTCAATAGCGTCGTAGTGATCGCTACAGGGTCAGGAATCGGGCCGTGTCTCGGCCATATCCAGAACCCATCATGTCCGACGAAGGTCATCTGGTCAACGAAGACACCTGAGACGACTTTTGGGCAGGGCCTCCTCGATACCATTAAGGATAAGATCCCTGATGCAGTGATCCATGACACAAAGACTAATGGCAGACCGGACTTAGTTAGGATGGGGTATAATTTGGCAACAGCTCATCAGGCCGAGGCGGTGATTATTATTGCAAATGAGAAGATCACGAAGCAGGTTGTCTATGGGCTGGAAACAAGAGGAATCAACGCGTACGGTGCTATCTGGGATAGCTAGCTTTCCGGCTGTTTGCTGGACTGGTAGTTAAAGCATCACAGCTGCCTGGCAAGCTGACCTTACAACTGTGCGGCTACGGATGAAACAGAGAGACTGGCAGAGCGGATTCAGCTCTGTTCTTGATAGAAGCTGCTGGAATAGCCCATATCACAACAGACTAACGGCTCTATGTTTATAAGACTGACTCTTAGACCTTTATTTGAAAAGAAACCAAGAGTCATTCATGATCCCAATCTGTAGCTATTTGTGATAAGTGCGCCGAGTGATCATATTCTTACAGATCAGGGATGCTTGTGTAGACAAAAGCGGACACCCAAGCCATACCTCGACCCTACAACCCCAGTCATCCTGGAGGTATAAGCGGGGTATGAAAGTTTGTTTAATAAAGTATTTACAGCTAAAACACTATATTGCGGTACTAATAGCAGCTGCAGGGGCAATTGGTATAGTAGGAAACCTGCTAGGTATAACCAATCCTACAGCTAGTTCTAGTATTTGAGTTATTGTTGGTGCTGCTCCTTCTGATATAAAGCAAACACTATTAGAAGGCTTGTATGTAAATAGATACTAAAGGGGGCTGAGTGTAGTGCGTATATTTAGCGCGGTTCTCGCTCCACATCCCAATAGATATTTGGAAATTGCAATACAGCTAACATACTTAATAAGTAAGTGAGCTATAAATACTGTACACTAAAAAGAGCTAAACCTTAAATTTTTAAAACTAGCTATTTAATTATTAAAAAGAAAACAATTTTAATTTTAATTATTTAATTAAAAAGAAAACTATATAATAATTTTTTTAAATTTTTAAAAAAATTTCTTTATATAGAAATAGCTAAGTATAATAGTTATATCTTATAGTCTGCTATAGATATAATCTAGAGTAGGTAAGAAATTAGTTACTAGGGGATAAATTATAGATTTATATTAATAGAGTAGTTAGAATATTACTTATAGAGTAAATATTATATCTAATAATAGTTAAGTTTAGTAATATATAGTAAGTTAAGGTAATTAAGATAATTAAGTTATATTAATAGCTAAGTAGCTATATATAGTAAATATATACTATTTTAATTAATTATATAGCTATAATAAAGTATTAAATTATAAGAATTATCTAATAATTTTAATAATTTTTATATTTTTAGATTATTTAAATTATTTAATAATTAAGATAATTTATATATAATAAGAGGAAATAAGTAGGTGTATTATTAGTATATATAATAAAATTAAGACTTAATTTAATATAAGTTATAATATTAAATATATAGTATAAATAAGTATTTTTAATATAGCTTATTAAGTAATTTTTAGAAAAATCTAAGAAAGTTTATATTTATTTTTTAATATATAATAAAA